CTGCAAGCTGATATATAAATTTTGCCCCGCCCCCTGGGGCAAAAGCACCTAAAATTCCTGAGAGTTCCCAAGGGGCTTCACATGAAATCACAACTGATGATTTCTCAAGTGGTTTCCTTTGGTATCTGCTCCTAAAAGCTGTGACTGGTATCTAGATGCGCCAAGAGCCAGCCTGCCTTATTCTCCAAGCATTTCTCTCCAAACTGCCATGCCCTGGTGTGCCAAGAACTTCTGAATACCTTTCAGTCCTTCATCAGTCAGAGCCATACATATTTCTACACAAAATTGGAGAAATGTCCATTAAACCTGGAAACAGTCTTTCTTTCTTGGAGTGCAGTCTAAAGGGATAATACTGAGATGGGACTCACTTCTGCACTGTTTACATAATTACAAAGAGAATCTATTATTATTATTTTTTTATAGAGGCATGTTTTATTTATTTGTTTGTTTGTTTATTTTTGTTTATACAAGCACTGGGTACAGTCAGAAGCGCGGGAGGGTGAGAGAATTCACCAGAGTCAGAGCGAGGAACAGAGCAGGCAGAAGGACCAAAGTACACTGCTGAGGGGAGCAGCGGGCGGCAGGAGAGGTCTGCGCGCCATGTGGGACCCTCTTCCGGTGGCAGGGGAGCAGCCGGGGATCGAACCGGCGCCGCAGAGGCTGCGGGCAGCTTCGCAACCCAGCACTCAACCGCTACGCCACCGGGGAGGCCCAAGAGAATCTATTTTTATAACAGCAAAATAATGAAGTCATATTTTGAAGAAAAAAAAACAAGAGAGACATGTAATTGGGTTTCTTAAATAGGTTGTTATTTTACCCACATTTTAAGTTTGAAGACTCTCTCCACAGTCTCTACCTAGTCTTCTTAAAACATTTCCAGGCTCAATGAAAGTCTATCATCCAAGGAGTCGCTTGAGCTAGAAATATCAGCTTTGAAAACCTACCTTCCATCAGTCTCTGGAACCAATTTACATCAAATCATGTCAAATTTACCTCTAAAATACTTAGCAAATATTCCACTTCTCTCCCTTTCCACTATTTCTGCTCCAATCCAAACTACACTTATCTTTTTTTTTTCCCTAGAGGCATGTTTATTTATTTATTTGTTTGTTTGTTTGTTTTGTTTATACATGCACTGGGTACAGTCAAAAGCACGGGAGGGTGAGAGAATTCACCAGAGCCAGAGTGGGGAGCAGAGCAGGCAGAAGGACTGAAGTACACTACTGAGGGGAGCAGCGGGCAGCAGGAGAGGTCTGCGCGCCATGTGGGACACTCCTCCGCTGGCCAGGGAGCAGCCGGGGATGGAACCGGCGCCGCAGAGGCCGTGGGCAGCTTCGCAACCCAGCGCTCAACCGCTGCGCCACCGGGGAGGCCCCAAACTACACTTATCTTAACCAAACTACAGCAATTGTCTCTTAAATAGTCTTAATCATCTAATCTTTGGGCCCTTCTCCAATGTGTTCTCTACCCATCAGCCAAAATGATCTTTTCAAAGTGTAAATCTGATGATATCTTTTCTACCTTAGCCTCCAAATATTTATGGTATAAAAATCACAATATTTCATTTAGTCTAAAAGGCTTTTTCTAGCCTAGCCTCTAACTAAATTTCCAGACACTTCCACCATATTTCAGCCTTAATCACACTGTCTTGGTTTCTCAAAAGGTCCACCCATTTTCACTTACACATGCAGTTTTCTCTGCCTAGCGTACACTTTTCACTTCCCACTTTATCCAGTCGACTCTTACTCATTGTAAAAGTCATTTCAACAGTCATTTCTCCAGAATAGCCATCTTTGAAACCCATGACTAGGTCAAATGCTATTACTTTATTTGTTCAACACATGTAAAATTCTTCCTTTATAATATTTATTAAAGTTCCAATGTGTTCATTACTTTAATATCCATCTCTACCACTACAGAACAAATTCCACTGAGCAAAGACCATTTTTTTTGGGTACACCTTTGAAATTCAAGCATATACACAGCACCCAAGCACATAGGAGACATTAAACAAACATTTGCCGAGTGAATATTAAGTTCCTTCTTGGTAGATGGGTTAATTTCTATAATGGATCTAAAGTTAAAAATCCCACGGTAGGGCCTCCCCAGTGGCGCAGCGGTTGAGCGCTGGGATGTGAAGCTGCCCGTAGCCTCCGCAGCACCAGCTCGATCCCCAGCTGCTCCCCAGCCACCGAAGGAGGGTCCCACATGGCACGCAGACTTCCCCTGCTGCACCCACTGCTCCCCTCAGCAGTGTATTTCGTCAGTCTGCCTGCTCTGCTCCCCGCTCTGGCTCTGGTGAATTCTCTCACCCTCCCGCGCTTCTGACTGTACCCAGTGTTTGTATAAATAAATAAATTAATTAAATAAATCTTAAAAAAAAAAAATAGAAAAAATAAATAAAAATCCCAGGGTAACTGGATTAACAAGGAGATCAAAGAAGAAATAAAAAAAATACCTAGAGACAAACGACAATGCGGACACAACTTTCCAGAATGTATGGGACACAGCAAAAGCAGTAATAAGAGGAAAGTATATAGCAATACAGGCTCATATCAAGAAACAAGAAAGAATTCAAAGAAACAACCTAATCTCCCATCTTAAAGACCTAGAAAAAGAACATAAAAAAACCCAAAAGCAAGCGTAAGAAGGGAAATAAAAATCAAAGCAGAAATAAATGAAATAGAAATTAAAAAAGCAATCTAAAATATCAACAAAAGTTGGTTCTTTGAAAAAAATAAACAAAATAGACAATCCTCTAGCCAGACTCACAAAGAATAACTGGGAAAAAAACACAAATTAACAGCCCCATAAATGAAAGAGGAGAAATTACAACACAGCAGAAATCAAAAGAATAATCAGAGATTATGAAGTTACACACAAACAAGTTCAACAATCTAGAAGAGACGGACAAATTCCTAGAACTACACAATCATCCAAAACTAGATAAAGAAATAGAACCCCTAAACAGACCCATTACAAGAGGTAAAATTGAAACCATAATCAAAACCCTCCCCCAAAACGAAAGCCTAGGATCAGATGGTTTCACAAATTCTACCAAATGTTTAGAAATGAACTACTTCCTATCTTTTTATAAAATTTTTTTTAATAGAGGCATATTTTATTTATTTATTTGTTTGTTTGTTTATACATGCACTGGGTACAGTCAGAAGCAGGGGAGGGTGAGAGAATTCACCAGAGCCAGAGCGGGGAGCAAAGCAGGCAGAAGGACCGAAGTACACTGCTGAGGGGAGCAGCGGGCGGCAGGAGAGGTCTGCGCGCCATGTGGGACCCTCCTCCGGGGGCCGGGGAGCAGCCGGGGATCGAACCGGCACTGCAGAGGCCGCAGGCAGCTTCGCAGCTCAGCGTTCAACCGCTGCGCCACCGGGGAGGCCCGAACTAGTTCCTATCTTACACAAACTTTTTCAAAAAATTGAGAAGGAAGGACTACTATCAAATATATTTTATGATGCCAATATTACACTAATACCAAAACCAAACAAGGACAACACAAAATAAGAAAACTACAGGCTACTCTAATGAACACTGATGCAAAAATCCTCAACAAAATCTTAGCCAACAGAATCCAACAATGCATCAAAAAGATAATACACCATGACCAAGTGGGATTTATGCCAGGGACACAAGGATGGTTCAATGTCCAAAAATAAATTAATATAACCCAACACATCAACAAAAAGAAAAATAAAAACCATATGATTATATCAATAGATGCCGAGAAAGCATTCAACGAAGTTCAACATCTATTTATGATGAAGGCCCTTGAAATCCTTGGGCTAGAGGAAAATACCTTAACATAATAAAAGCCATATATTACAAACCCACAGCTAATATGATCCTCAATGGCAAAAGCTGAAAGCCTTTCCCTTAAGATCTGGAACAAGGCAAGGATGTCCACTCTCACTGCTGCTTTTCAATATAATACTGCAAGTCCTAGCCAGAGCAGTAAGACAAGAGAAAGACATACAAGGAATCCAAACAGGGAAAGAAGTAAAACTATCACTATTTGCAGACAATATAATAATATACATAGAGAATCCTAAAAATTCCACAGAAAAACTAACTAAAATTATAAGACCAATTTAGTAAAGCAGCAGGATACAAAATCAACACAAAAATTAGTAGTCTTCCTATATGCAGAAAACAATCAATCTGAAGAAGAAGAAATGAAGAAAACCATCCCTTTTATAATTGAAACCAAAAATATCAAATACTTGGGAATAAACCTAACAATAGAGGTAAAGGACCATACAAAGAAAACTACAGGATACTGTTAAAAGAAATAGAAGAAGATAAAAAGATATGGAAAGACATCCCTTGCTCATGGATTGGAAGAATTAACATTATCAAAATGGCCATCCTACCAAAAGCAATTTACAGATTCAATGGTATTCCAATAAAAATTTCAATGACATTCTTCAAAGAAATAGAACAAATATTGATGAAATTCATACAGAATCACAAAAACACTCAAATAGCCAAAGCTTTCTTGACTAAAAAGGAGAATGGAGGTATCACACTGCCTGATTTCAAGCTATACTACAAAGCCATAATAATTAAAACAGTATGGTACTGGAACAAAAACAGATACACAGACCAGTGGAATGTAATAGCAAACCCAGAAATAAACCCACATACGGCCTCCCTGGTGGCGCAGGCGGCTGAGCACCGCACTATGAAGCTGTCCACAGCCTCTGCAGCGCCAGTTTGATCCCGGCTGGCGAGCGAGGGTCCCACAGGTTGCAGCAGACCTCTCCTGGCTCGCCTGCTGCTCCCCTCAGCAGTGTATTTCGTCAGTCTGCCTGTTCTGTTCCCCACTCTGTCTCTGGTGAATCCTCTCACCCTCCCGCACATCTGGCCTTTACCTGGTTCTTGTATAAATAAATAAATCTTTAAAAAAAAAAAGTGATCATTTTAAAAAAAAAGAAAGAAACCCACATATTTATGGACAACTAATCTTTGACAAAGGAGCAAAGAATGTGCTCACTTTGGCAGCACATATACTAAAATTGGAACGATACAGAAAAGATTAGCATGGCCCCTGCGCAAGGATGACACGCAACTTCGTTTGGTCTCACTCATAGCAGGAATCCAGAAAACTTAAATAAGGGACCAGGAAAAAGAATAACTATAGAAAGTAAAAATCAAAATCAACAAACAACTATGAACCAGAGACACTCTATTGGGGGTGGGGGAGGGATTGGGGTCAAAATAAGGGGGTCGCAATTGTATGGGGAATATAAAAATAAAAAAAAATTTATATTAAAAAAATAAAAATGAAAACCGGGCGTGCAGGGGAGCGCGTCCCCGGCACCGGCATTTTGCAGCAGGGACCTTTCTTGCTGGAGACTGTGTGAACCCAGCAGAAGGCTCACCGAGGAGACAGAGGTAAGCTGGGAGGCTTGCCCACGCTGGGCACCTTCTAGACTGCAGTTCCAGCCCAGAGGAGAGCAGCACCCACCGCTGGGGCAGACCGGGCGTGCAGGGGAGCGCGTCCCCGACACCGGCATTTTGCAGCAGGGACCTTTCTGGCTGGAGACTGTGTGAACCCAGCAGAAGGCTCACCGAGGAGACAGAGGTAAGCTGGGAGGCTTGCCCACGCTGGGCGCCTTCTAGCCTGCAGTTCCAGCCCAGAGGGGAGCAGCACCCACCGCTGGGGCAGACCGGGCGTGCAGGGGAGCGCGTCCCCGGCACCGGCATTTTGCAGCAGGGACCTTTCTGGCTGGAGACTGTGTGAACCCAGCAGAAGGCTCACCGAGGAGACAGAGGTAAGCTGGGAGGCTTGCCCACGCTGGGCGCCTTCTAGCCTGCAGTTCCAGCCCAGAGGGGAGCAGCACCCACCACTGGGGCAGAGCGGGCGTGCAGGGGAGCGTGTTCCCGCATCGCCATTTTGCAGCAGGGACCTTCCTTGCTGGAGACTGTGTGAACCCAGCAGAAGGCTCACCGAGGAGACAGAGGTAAGCTGGGAGGCTTGCCCATGCTGGGCGCCTTCTAGCCTGCAGTTCCAGCCCAGAGAGGAGCAGCACCCACTGCTGGGGCAGACCGGGCGTGCAGGGAAGTGCGTTCACGCATCGCCATTTTGCAGCAGAGACCTTTCTTGCTGGAGACTGTGTGAACCCAGCAGAAGGCTCACCGAGGAAACAGAGGTAAGCTGGGAGGCTTGCCCACGCCGGGCACCTTCTAGACTGCAGTTCCAGCCCAGAGGAGAGCAGCACCCACCGCTGGGGCAGACCGGGCGTGCAGGGGAGCGCGTCCCCTGCACCGGCATTTTGCAGCAGGGACCTTTCTTGCTGGAGACTGTGTGAACCCAGCAGAAGGCTCACCGAGGAGACAGAGCAGGGACCTTTCTTTGCTGGAGACTTGTGAACCCAGCAGAAGTTCCCCAGAGGAGCCAGTGGTGAGCTGGGAAGGTAGCCCAAGATGCGGGCCAGTACCAGCAACACAGTGTCACAAGGAATACGGCAAATTAGAAAACAGGCAGTAGGGAGTAGAAAAACCACATGCAACCCAGCAACTCCTCAGCAAAAAAGCACACCGCAAAAAGAAAACCATCTACCAGATTGCAACGACAGTAACTTGGAAGAACTTCTGAGCCTTCCAGATAGAGAATTTAAAATTGCTGTGATTAAAAAACTGACAGAAGTCATAAAGGAAAACAATGATAAGGGAAAAATAATTAATGACCAGAAGAATGAAATTGAGTCCCTAAAGAGGGAAGTAAAAGAAATGCAGGAGATCAAAGAATTAATGGAGACGCTAAAGAACTCTGGGAAAAGCAATGAAAGCAGAATAGATGAAATGGAAGAACGAATAAGTACTCTTGAAGACACAGAAATAAAAAGAACTAAAACAGAAAAGGAAGGAGAAGTACGAAGGAAAAAGACCGAAGAAAGACTTCGGGAACTATCTGACTCCATGAGGAAAGGAAATATAAGAGTTATAGGAATCCCAGAAGGAGAGGAGAGAGATGTAGGAACAGAGAAAATATTCATGGATATAATTGAAGAGAACTTCCCAAATGCGAAGAAGGATCTGAAAATTGATATACAAGAAGCAAGAAGAACACCAAACTTCCATGACGAAAGGAAAAATACAGCAAGACACATAATAGTAAAGCTCCCAAGAATCCAAGACAAGGAAAAAATAATGAAACTAACAAGAGGGAAGAAACAGATAACATTCAAAGGGAAACCAATCAGACTGACATCAGACTTCTCTGAAGAAACACTACGGGCAAGGAGAGAGTGGAGGGACATAGTCAACAGACTCCAAGAAAACAGATGCCAACCAAGAATACTCTATCCCGCAAAGCTCTCCTTCCTCTTTGAAGAAAGAATATGGACCTTCCCAGACAAACAGAAACTCCGGAATTTTATTACGACTAAACCCCCACTCCAAAAAATACTACAAGGAGTCCTAAAGCCAAAACCTCAGAGGGACGAATAACAACAAAAGAAGGCCAAAGAAAGTTATTAAAAGAATAAATAAATAAAATCAAAGGAAAAAAAAACACAATGGCAAATACAGATGCTAACATATCAATACTAACTCTAAATGTAAATGGACTAAACTCTCCAATAAAAAGACACAGAGTTACAGGCTGGATCAAGAAACAAAACCCAACCTTTTGCTGTCTCCAGGAAACACATTTAGCTGCAAAAGATAAAAATAGACTCAAAGTTAAAGGATGGAAAACAATTCTACAAGCAAATGGACCAAAAAAGAAGGCAGGAACAGCTATACTCATATCAGATAAAACAGATTTCAAACTTAAAAAGATAAAAAGAGACTCCAGTAGTCATTACATTATGATCAAGGAGACAATACTTCAAGAAGAAATAACACTCATTAACATATATTCACCAAACGAAGGAGCACCAAAATATATCAGACAACTATTGGCATCTCTGAAAACAGACATCAGAGAAAACACATACGTAGTGGGACACTTCAACACACCACTATCAACAATGGATAGATCAACAAGACAAAAAATAAGTAAAGACACTAAAGCTCTAAATAAGGATCTAGAGTGCTTGGGCTTAACAGACATATATAGAACACTAAACCCAAAAAAATCTGAGTATACATTTTTCTCAAGCGCACACGGATCATTCTCTAGGATCGATCATATACTGGGGCACAAGACAAACATCAACAGATACACCAAGATTGAAATCATACCAACCATCTTTTCTGACCATGAAGGCATCAAACTAGAAATAAACCATAAAAAGAAGGCAAGGTACTCTCCTACCTCGTGGAGATTGAAACCCACACTACTGGAAGTCCACTGGACTAACGAGGAGATAAAAGAAGAAATTAAAAAATTCTGGGCCTCCCCGGTGGCGCAGCGGTTGAGCGCTGGGTTGCGAAGCTGCCCGCAGCCTCTGCAGCACCGGTTCGATCCCCGGCTGCTCCCCGGCCACCGGAGGAGGGTCCCACATGGCGCGCAGACCTCTCCTGCCGCCCGCTGCTCCCCTCAGCAGTGTGCTTCGGTCCTTCTGCCTGTTCTGCTCCCCGTTCTGGCTCTGGTGAATTCTCTCACCCTCCCGCGCTTCTGACTGTACCCGGTGCTTCAATAAATAAATAAATATTAAATAAAATAAAATAAAATTATAAAAAAAAAAAAATTAAAAAATTCTTTGAATTGAATGACAAGGAGGACACCAATTTCCTAAATGTATGGGATGCAGCAAAAGCAGTAATAAGAGGAAAATATATAGCAATAGATGCTCACATCAAGAAACAAGAAAGAACTCAAAGAAACAACCTAATCTCGAAGCTCAAAGATCTAGAAAAAGAACAACAAAAAAAACCCCAAAACCAGTAGAAGAAAAGAAATAATAAAAACCAAAGCAGAAATAAATGAAATCGAAACTAAAAAAAACAATCCAAAAGATCAATGAAACCAAGAGCTGGTTCTTTGAAAAAATAAATAAAATAGATAAACCCCTAGCCAGGCTCACAAGGGCAAAAAGGGAGAAAGCACAAATAAATAGGATAATAAATGAAAGAGGAGAAATCACAACGGACACAGCAGAAATCAAAAGAATAATTAATAACTACTATGAACAGTTATATGGAAACAAGTTCAACAATCTAGAGGAGATGGACAAATTCCTACAACTCTACAATCACCCAAAGCTAGATAAAGAAGAAATAGAACACCTAAACAGACCAATTACAATTAGTGAAATTGAAATGGTAATCAAAAACCTCCCCAAAAACAAAAGCCCAGGACCTGATGGATTTACAAATGAATTCTACCAAACATTCAGAGATGAATTGGTGCCTATCCTTCACAAACTCTTCCAAAAAATTGAGAAGGAAGGTATAATACCTAACACGTTCTATGAAGCCAACATTACACTAATACCAAAACCGAACAAGGACAACACAAAAAAAGAAAACTATAGGCCAATCTCCCTAATGAACACTGATGCAAAAATCCTCAATAAAATTTTAGCTATCAGAATCCAACAGTGTATCCATAAGGTAATTCACCACGATCAAGTAGGATTCATTCCAGGGACACAAGGATGGTTTAACATCCGAAAATCAATCAACGTTATCCAACACATCAACAAAAATAAATATAAAAACCATATGATAATATCAATAGATGCTGAGAAAGCTTTTGACAAAGTGCAACACCCATTCATGATAAAAGCCCTTGAAATTCTTGGGATACAAGGAATGTACCTCAACATCATAAAGGCCATATATGACAAGCCAACAGCCAGTATCATTCTCAATGGTGAAAAGCTGAAAGCAATTCCATTAAGATCTGGAACAAGACAAGGATGTCCACTTTCACCACTGCTTTTCAATATAATACTGGAAGTCATAGCCAGAGCAATAAGACAAGAGAAAGACATCCAAGGAATCCAAATAGGAAAAGAAGAAGTCAAACTATCACTCTTTGCAGATGATATGATAATATACATAGAGAACCCCAAAAACTCCACAGAAAAACTAATTCAACTCATCAATCAGTTCAGTAAAGTGGCAGGATACAAAATCAACACGCAAAAGTCAGTAGCCTTCCTATATACAAACAATAAATCTGAAGAAGAAAAAATCAAAAAAACCATCCCTTTTATTATTGAAACAAAAAAAATCAAATATTTGGGAATAAATCTAACAAAAGAGGTAAAGGACCTATACAAAGAAAACTATAAAACACTGTTAAAAGAAATAGAAGAAGACACAAAGAAATGGAAAAACATCCCCTGCCCATGGATTGGGAGAATAAACATTATTAAAATGGCCATCCTACCAAAAGCAATCTACAGATTCAATGCTATTCCAATCAAAATTTCAATGTCATTCTTCAAAGAAATAGAACAATTATTGATGAAATTCATATGGAATCACAAAAAACCCCGAATAGCCAAAGCTCTCCTTAAAAAAAAAGAAGGGAATGGAGGCATCACACTCCCAGACTTCAAACTTTACTACAAAGCCATAATCATCAAAACTGCATGGTATTGGAACAAGAACAGACATACAGACCAATGGAATCGAATAGAAAATCCAGAAATAAACCCACAGGTTTATGGTCAACTAATATTTGACAAAGGAGCAAAGACTATGCATTGGAGCAAAGAAAGTTTGTTCAATAAATGGTGCTGGGAAAACTGGGTCGCTACATGCAAAAGAATGAAGCTTGACCACCACCTCACACCATATACAAAAATCAACTCAAAATGGATTAAAGAACTAGACATAAGACCTGAAACCATAAAATACATAGAAGGAAATATAGGCGAAACACTACGTGATTTGCATATCAAAGACATCTTTACAGACACTTCACCCAAAGCAGTGATAGTGAAGGCAAAGATCAACAGCTGGGACTACATCAAATTAAAGAGCTTCTGCACAGCAAAAGAGACAATAACAAAAACAAAGAGAAACCCCACCAACTGGGAGAACATTTTTGCACACAACACTAATGATAAAGGACTGATCACAAAAATCTGCAAAGAGCTGATGAGACTCAACAACAACAAAGAAAATAATCCAGTCAAGAAATGGACAGAGGAGCTAAAAAGAAACTTCTCTGAAGAGGAAATGCGAATGGCCAACAGGCATATGAAAAAATGTTCAACATCACTTGCAATCAGGGAAATGCAAATCAAAACTACCATGAGATACCATCTTACACCAGTGAGAATGGCACATATTAAAAAAACTAGCAACAACAAATGTTGGCGAGGGTGTGGAGAAAAAGGAACTCTTCTGCACTGTTGGTGGGAGTGCAAACTGGTCCAACCACTATGGAGAGCTGTGTGGAGATTTCTGGACCTACTAAACATAGAGCTTCCACAGGATCCAGCAATTCCACTCCTAGGTATTTACCCAAAGAACACAGAAACATCAATTCCAAAGAACACCTGCACCCCTATGTTTATAGCAGCACTATTTACAATAGCTAAGCTTTGGAAACAGCCCAAATGCCCAAAAATAGATGACTGGATCAAGAAGATGTGGTACATATATACCATGGAATATTACTCAGCATTCAAAAAAGATAAACACATGCAATTTGCAGCAACATGGATGGCGCTGGAAGGGATCATGCTCAGCGAAATAAGCCAAAAAGAAAAAGAAAAATACCGGATGGTCTCACTCATAGCAGGAATCTAGAATACTTAAATAAGGGACCAGGAAAATGAATAACTATAAGAAAGTGAAAATCAAAATCAACAAAAACTATGAACCAGAGACACTTTTTGGGGGGTGGGGGCGGAGGGGAGGGATTGGGGTCAGAATGGGGGGATTGCAATTGTATGGGGAATATAAAAATAAAATTTATTAATTAAAAAAAAATAAAAATAAAATAAAAATGAACGATGTAAAAAAATAGAAAAAAAATAAAAAAATAGGAAAAAAATAGGGAAAAAAAAAAAAAAAAAAAAAAAGAAAAAAAAAAGGAGCAAAGAATATGCAATGGAAGGGCCTCCCAGGTGGCGCAGCGGTTGAGCACTGGGTTGCGAAGCTGCCCGTAGCCTCTGCGGCGCCGGTTCGATCCCCGGCTGCTCCCCGGCCACCGGAGGAGGGTCCCACATGGCGCGCAGACCTCTCCTGCAGACCTCTCCTGCCGCCCACTGCTCCCCTCAGCAGTGTACTTCGGTCCTTCTGCCTGCTCTGCTCCCCGCTCTGGCTCTGGTGAATTCTCTCGCCCTCCCGGCTTCTGACTGTACCCAGTGCATGTATAAACCAAACAAACAAACAAACAAACAAATAGATAAATAAGACATGCCTCTAGAAAATTAAAAAAAAAAAAAAAGAATATGCAATGGAACAAGGACCGTTTGTTCAATAAATGGTGCTGGGAAAATTGGACTGCTGTTTGCAAAAGAATGAAGCTAGACCACTTCCTCATACCATGCACAAAAAACAACTCAAAATCGATAGAAGACCTGAAACCATAAAATATGTAGAAGAAAATATAGGCAAAACACTACAGAATATACATCTCTCAGTAACATCTTTAAAGCCACATTACCAAAGCAAAGAAAGTAAAGGAAAAGATAAACAACTGGGATTACATCAAACTGAAAAACCTCCATACACCAAAAGAGACACTCGCCAAAACAAAAAGATACCCTATTGATTGGGAGAAAAATTTTGCATATAAAACAACTGATAAGGGACTGATCACAAAAATCTACAAAGAGCTCACAACTGAACAAAAACAAAGTAAACAATCCAGTCAAAAAATAGGCAGAATCATGGGGCCTCCCTGGTGGCGCAAGGGATTAAGACTCAGCATTATGAAGCTAGTTGCAGCCACTGCAGCATGAGTTCGATCCCCGGGCAGGGAGGTGACCTACATGGCGCAGCAGACCTCTCCTGTCTCGGCCTGCTGCTCCCCTCAGCAGTGTATATCAATCAATCCAACTGTCCTGCTCCCCACTCTGTCTCTGATGAATCCTCTCACCTCCCCCCTGCACCTCTGGCCTGTACCCCACTTCTTGTATGCATAAATAAATAAATCTTAAAAACAAAAGGCAACAAAAAAAACCCACTAAAAATGGAGCTACCACATGGCCCAGCAATTCCACTCCTAGAAATCTACCCTAAGGACACAAAAACATTAATTCAAAAGGATACCTGCACCTCTATGTTTACTGGAGCACTATTTATAATAGATAGGACATGGAAATAACTCAAATGTCCAAAAACAGATGACCATACACAATGGAATACTATTCAGCAATCAAAAAAGACAAACCCATGCCATTCACAGCAACATGGACAGAGCTAGAAGGGATCATGCTCAGTGAAATAACCCAGAAGGAAAAAGAAAAATATCAAATGGTTTCACTTATGCAAAGAATATAGAGAAACCAAATAAGGACCAGGGGGAAAAAATAACAACAACAATAATAAAAAACAAAACAAAGCTAGCAGACAACAATAAATAAGAGACATTCTGCAAGGGACGGGGAGGAAAAGGTATCAAAACAAGCAAGATAAAAGCACAAGGAACTATAGTGAAGGTTCACAGGGAAACTGGTTGTAGGAATTTTACAGGGAATACACAATGATGTAAAAGATATAAATTTTAAAAAATTCTAAATTTTATAAGTTAAAAAAATAAAATATCATTTCTTTGCGTGTACGAAGTGAACATTATAATTTGCATTGCTATGTTTTTGCTAACTATTAAAAATTTTTTGGTGCATTAAAAAAAAAAAAAAATCCCAGGGTACATCTGAGATTTGACTTTGCAAATTTTAAGGACGGAATCTTCCTACATACCACCCAGCTGTATGGCTTATCTCTTCAAGAGTGGTGCTATCCTCCACTCTCTAGAGGAGGCAGTATTAAGAGCCTGGGTGAACTTACCCCTATGGTAGATGCCATGTAGTCTGCACACATTTCTGCAAAGTCCCGTTCAAGAACGCCATAGTAGAGGCCATAAAAGAGGAGAGAAATACCAAAGTCCATGGCATCTTCTGGCTTGATCCTGTAAGGAAAGCAGCATGGCATGTAAGACCTGCCCTGAGACACAATGCTTTGAATTACTACTCAGGGACACAGGAAACAGTGCCTAAAGTTGGAAGGCTCAAGTACTGGAGTAAGTGTTGACAGACTAAAACCAAACTAGCCTGCTACCTGTTTAATGTGGCCTGCAGGCACCACTTGAATAGGCTAGCACTGTGAGTGATAAAACCCAAACCAGGATATCCTCTTCTGCCCATCTTCCCCACTGTTTCCAGTCCCTGCTTCCTTTGACTGGTCAACATGCCTTGTACTTTGCCTGGGCACACACAGTTGGCATCTAGGTACTGAAGATTCCACTGTTGGCAACTGCTGGACATCAAGCAATGAAATTTCAATTTGAAAGTTGGCAGCTCAGTGAGTTATCTTTCCTCCAGCCAAAGCTGAGCCCTCTGAAAGGAGGCAAGGGCCCTCACACCTGGATCTTGGTGTCACTGGAGTAGTATAAAAATGATCCCAGTGGTCACAACCCTCCTTTTTCAGATCCCTCCTCCTGAGAAAGTCTCATTGATGGCAAGTGGGCACAAAGATTGCCTACCACCTGAGGCAGCAGTCCACCCAGGCAAACAAAGTAGTGTAAGAGAGAAGCCTTCTCTTTTGTTATACAGTATCTACATAATATCCTAGAGTTTGGATTTTGTCCCAGAGAGTTTAAATAGTTACTATTTAGCTCTTTATAGAAAAAAAATTTGTGAACCACAGCTTTAGGGAAAAAAAAAAGAGATGGTAAATATTTATACACCAGTTACCATAAAATTTTAAGTTGTACCTATATATAGTCTGTCTTCAAAGGTGCAAGTCTGCTTACTAAAAAGGATAAAGATCCTGCCTGTACTACTAGGTGGTTTGCTTTAATAATTCCAAAGACCAATAATATTGCAACTATACATATGCTTACTATATGCTATAGATGCTTATTGTAGAAAATTACCTTTGTTAAAATAGTACCACAAACTGTTTTTGTTCACTTAAAGTTGTAGGTTACATTTATCTTAAAAAGTTGAATTTACTCATCAACCTTAAAATATTTAACTTACTGACTAGAGACCATGATCTTAGACCATGATCTTATCCCAAGTAACTTGATCAACAGAATAAAAATGGTCAAGAATCTTAACTGTTTTCCTCCTTATATAGTTTATATACAATAAAGAAACTATAATTATAAATTAAGTACCTTTACAACATAATGCAGGACCTTTATTCTTATTTATTTTATTTTTTATTTATTTATTTATTTATTTTTTTGGTGGGACCCTCGCCGGTGGCCGGGGAATGAACTGGCACTGCAGAGGCTGCGGGCAGCCTTGCGGCCCAGTGCTCAACCACTGCGCCACCGGGGAAGGCCCCTATTCTTATTTTTTTAAAAACCACACAGGTTATGAATAGCTGGAAATGTCTTCTTTGACAAGATGTGTTGAACTCTATACTGATGAGTTCCTGTAAACCTCTGCGAGTCTGCTCATTCTCTCAGCTTTTACTAACTCTGCAAAAAGGAATTTCAAGGATATCCTCTCATTAGATAAAGTAGAACTTACTTATTTCAGTTTCACACTTTTGCCTACAGTATTCTAGGCCAGTGGTCAGGAATTTAAATTTGAATCCTAAACCAAGCTTCAGTGCAATGTTATCTCAGATCCACAGTCATCATTATCCTCACCCAGGAAACCACATTCCTACCTTCTCCTGCCCTCCTTACTCACTGGCTCTTATAGTCCCTGAGGCCAGGATTACTAGGTTTTTGTCTCCACTGGGGCTAGGACCAGTACACTGGTATAAATGTTTTGGAAAGTATGACAATATGAAGCAACAATCAGAATCCCAGTCCTGGTAATGACTCCTTAGAAAGCAACATAGCAATTTATCTGTGATAGCATTAAATTGAAACAAACCAACCAACTAAACACCTAAGTGCCCAAAAATGGAGTAGAACTTAAATGGGTTAATAATACTAGACCCATTTTCTTAGAAATGTAATACAGTAGAATGTCAGCTGTGCTACAATGCAACGGGGCTTATATGTTAAACATGACTTGTGATTAGTAAATTGTTTCTAGACTGGGAGATACTTAAAACTGGGAGGACCCATACCTTAGTTCTGGGACAGGGTGGCCCCACACCCATCTGTGTGGTTTCATTCCCTCATATCTCAACCCTGGGGCTACTGTGAAGACTCCTAAAGACACTGCCCTGCTATTTACTGCCTTGTAATTTTCTACATGAATCTGCTGCCAGATGTGCCAGTGATGTCTATGCTAACTGTTCAACCAACTGTCTGGTTCAAGTGCAAATTTTATTCTGTAAAGAGCTAGACAGGTTAGGTTTTGTGACCCATATGTCACAATTATTCTACTCTGCTGTTTTAGAACAGAAATAGTCACATACAATATATAAACAAATTAGCATGATTATGTCCCAGATTTTAATTTTATAAAAACAGGTGGTAAACCAATTTGGCCCACAGGACACAGTTTGCCAATTCCTAGTCGTTGAACAGAGGCCTACTCAGGTAGAGTGGATGTTACAACAAATATTAGACACATGGATGAGAAAAATGTTTCTTTTCTTTTTTTTTTTAAAGATTTATTATTTATTTATTTATACAAGCACTGGGTACAGTCAGAAGCGCGGGAGGGTGAGAGAATCCACCAAGCCAGAGCGGGGAGCAGAGCAGGCAGAAGGACCGAAGTACACTGCTGAGGGGAGCAGCGGGCGGCAGGAGAGGTCTGCGCGCCATGTGGGACCCTCCTCTGGTGGCCGGGGAGCAGCCGGGGATCGAACAGGCACTGCAGAGGCTGCGGGCAGCTTCGCAACCCAGAGCTCAACCGCTGCGCCACTGGGGAGGCCCCGAGAAAAATGTTTCTGATAGGATGATGAACTTACGGGTAACAGACTATACTCATTATTATGCTTTATTATACTTTTCCACTAAAATACATATTCTTGGGAATTAAAAGCAGTGATTTGGAATTCTGACCTTGTATATATTCAAACATTCCATTCTTTTTGCAAGCACAAATCACAGAGGGCCTCATATCCCAGGGGTCACTGCCCCCCACCAACCCTGGTTAAAAACTCAGGACTTGCAGCAAGAAGAAAGGTACAGCTCACTAGTCCCTCCTCCCCAAATACCAGCAAAAATAAAAGCAAAGAGTACTCACTTGAATAGTAAGTTAAGACCAAAGAGGGTAAACATGACAGCCATGTAGCCAACGATACCAGTGGCATAGCTGATTTTATAGATCAGCAGGAACCACTTATAAACCAACCTGAAGAAAGGAGAGAAAATTAGTACAGCTGACACAGAAACTCTGTGTCTGCCCCAGGGGCCTCTGGACCACCCAAATCCCATTTTCACATTAATGGGGCTATCAGGCTCTTTCTAGGAACTTTACTATAAAAAATTGGTCACTCCCTTAATTGCAGAAATACCTCCAAATACCAGGAAATTAGTGCTTCGTATTTTCCTGGTCTCAGACCAAAGGAAGAAGAGAGAACCTTGAAAGGTTTCAGTCTCAACGTACAGCTGACCTCAGACAGTTATGTCATCCTCCATTCAGGCTAGTTGGATAAGGAACTGTAAACCAGTAACCACAGAAGGAACAGATGGGCAAGTTTATTTATTCTTGTTCAGGAAAAAGAACTCAAGGGAACAGAGTAAGATGTAGAAATAGTGACAGGTCTTTGCATCTAGGCATGATTTGCTCCTATCCACGGGCGAATAATGAAATGAATTTGCTCTTGATATTTTTCCCCCCCAGAAGAAGGACAAGGATAGAATTGTTAAAGAATACCTTTGAACTGGATGTATGTGTGTGATGGGTTATGGGCTTGAATGGGGCTGCAAAATGCTCCTGAGGGAGAAGCATTCATTCCCAGGAGCCACTTAGCAGCAGTGTGGAATTGGTTGCTTGACCCAAGCTTGGTTCAGAGATCAAAGATGGGTCAATGAAGATACAGTCTTTTAAATGCCATGATTATGCAGGCCCCCGATATGAGGAGCCTCTATTTTGTCTGTGATTATTCAATGTCTGTGATTATTCAATTTGCTTGAATAATCACCATCAGCCTGGCTCCTGGTTACCCTATATGAGGTAGCAATTATTACCACATTTTTAGGGATAAGGAATTCAAAGATCAAAAAGGTAAAAAACATAGGTCATAAAATTAACAAGTGATAGATGTGGGGTTTTCCAATTCACATTCACCCAGTTCCAGAGTCTGTGATCTTCTATAATGGTCTTAAGGTAACATAAACTACTACAGCCGCAAAGGGGTTTCTGCTTCTGGATCACCAACTTCACCTTGAAGACAAATTCTACTTTGCACAATTAAACTCAAAAGGTCAAAGAAAGTCTTGCAGTAAAGTGGAACATAAGGGTGGGGAAAAGAGCAACAATCAACTTGGAAGACTCTGGATCTGGTAGTCACAACTTTGAGGCTGGCCAGTTCCTGTTAGGCTCTCCCAGACTTTTACCAGGTCTCTCTTAGCACTTACCCACTACACTGAAACAGTTGCTTTCCCATCCATCTCCTCCATTAATCTGAGTACTCCTTGAGGGCTGGGACCATGTCTTATCCAGCTTTGTATCCCCAGTGCTCAGCACAGGGCCTAACACATAGCAGGTGCTCATTGAATGAAAGAATGAGAAAAAAATTTTTTTTGTCAAGTACAGATATTGCTGGTTGAAAGGATTGAACAAATATGCATTCAGAAAAAATACAGAGAATTATATAAGTAGGGACACATTTGACCCAAGAAGAAAGCACTGTTTGCAGAAAATCGTAAATCTGCCAACAGCATTCATTCAACAAAATTTAGAGAGTAGGCTACTATGTGCCAGGCCCTGCGGGGAGTATGGATATACAATGGCAAAGTGGGTGTGATTCCTAAACTCAAAGTTATAGTTTAGTGGGGGAGATAGATAATCAAAATAATATTTAATTATAAATTCTGGTGAGTTCTGTGAAGGAAGACTACAGGGCACCAAGAAAGAATGTAACAGAAAATCTAATTTAGAGATCAGAGAAATGCTCACAGAAGCAACATTTAAAATGAAACCACAAGGAAATGGGCAAAAAATAAAATAAAATTAGACTACATGATCACCAGCATTTACTTATTTTGCTTGTTTTTAATATAAACAGGTCTTGATATAAATCATAAGATTAAGCTATAGGGAATACTTGGGGGGTTTTATCTGTGAATGGGGAGGTAGGTCTCCCAATCAGCTTGTATTGGTGGAGTCCACAAGGAATTGTGGCAGACAAAAACCGGAATTTTTTAGTCTAACCCCATCCTTCTCCCATGCATCCCCGCCCATTAAGTTTAGGAAACGAAGCTCTTGCCCACTAACTACACTCTCACCTGGGAGTTGTCTGTACCAAAGGTTTCCGGGTGGCTCGGAAGGTGACAAAGGCTGTGACAGCAGAGAAAAAGACCCAGATCACTAGGAACCTCCACCAGTGCAGCTTCACTGTGAAATAGAGGGGAACAACCCACATCTGAAAGAGGGTCACCATCTGAAACACAAACACAAGCACTTCAGCTCCAGGCAGCTCCCTCTGCAGGTCTGTCCACAAGCCCAGGGTGTATCTTGTGTGCTGTTTTATAGCCTGTCCTGTGCTACATTTCCAGTTGTTATTTTTTTTAAAGATTTATTTATTTGTGCATACAAGAACCGGAGTATAGGCCATAGGTGTGGGGGATGAGAGGATTCAACAGAGACAGAGTGGGGAACAGAACAGGCAGACTGACTGAAATACACTGCTGAGGGGAGGAGGAGGGGAGTCAGGAGAGGTCTGCTGCGCCATGTGGGTCACCTCCCTGGCCAGGGATCGAACTCGTGCTGCAGTGGCTACAGCTAGCCTGAGTGCTGTGTCTTAACCCCTTGCGCCACCAGGGAGGCCCCATTTCCAGTTCTGGATATCGGCACCTCCACTAGTGATCAAGTAAGAAACCTGAAGCCAAGCTTGACTCCTCCCTTTCATGCCTCACACAATCATTTATACAGATATTCTTTCCCTTTTATCCCTTGCTATCCCTTGCCTTACTGACTGCAATAACATCTGCAATAACGTTCAATGTCTTTCCCTACAAATCTAATCTTTAATCTGTTCTTGAAGTGGTATCTCTAACACTGAGTCTTAAGCATGTCATTCCCTGCTTACAACCTTTTAATGGTCCTGTGCATGGAGAATAATATCCAACATCCTTAGACAGGCAAATCCCCTACAATATGAACCAAACTACTTTTTCAGGGACCACCTTCTAGCATTCCTATGCCTTTAGTCAGCTTGTCCCTTCAGGTTAAAAAAAATCCTTCCGACCTGCCTATCTGCCTGATATTACATTCAAGACACATGAACAAGTAGCAAATATCGAGAGCTAAAAAAGCATTTTCTTTTCTATATTGCGACACTGTTTATCTAGAGTACAAAGTCAGATTTATTTTTCTTCATTTTTTTAAAGAATGTTTATTTTTTAAGATTTATTTATTTATTTATACAAGCAATGGGTACAGTCAGAAGCAGGGGAGGGTGAGAGGATTCACCAGAGCCAGAGCGGGAAACAGAACAGGCAGACTGACGAAATACACTGCTGAGGGGAGCAGCAGGCGCGGCAGGAGAGGTCTGTCACACCATGTGGGACCCTCGCCGGTGGCCAGGGATTGAACTGGCGCTGCAAAGGCTGCGGGCATCTTCACAGCCCAGCGCTCAACTGCTGCACCACCAGGGGAGGCCCCAAAGTCAGATTTAAATTCACTTTCCCTGTTGTAAATAGTGCTACAATAAACAGAGGGGTGCAGGTATCCTTTTGAATTACTGTTTTTGTGTCCTTTGGGTAGATTCGTAGTAGAATCGTTGGGTCATATGGTAGCTCCATTTTTAGTAGTTTGTGGAACCTCCACACAGCTTCCCATAGAGGCTGGACCAGTTTGCACTCCCACCAGCAGTGTAGGAGAGAGTTCCTTTTTCTCCACATCCTCACTGACATTTGCTGTTGCCAGTTTTTTTTAATATGGGCCATTCTCACTGGTGTGACGTGGTATCTCACTGTGGCTTTGATTTGCATTTCCCTGGTTATAAGTAATGTTGAACTTTTTTCATATACCTGTTGGCCATTTGCATTTCCTCTTTGGAGAAATGTCTTTTTAGCTCTTCTGCCCATTTTTTGACTGAATTGTTTACTTTGTTTTTGTTGAGTTGTGTGAGCTCTCTGTAGATCTTTGTGATCAGTTCCTTGTTAGTTATACGGAGTGCAAAAATTTTCTCCCAATCAGTAGGGTGTCTCTTTGTTTTGGTTAATATCTCTTTTGCTGTACAGAAGCTTTTTGGGGGGATGAATTTTGTGTGTGTGTGTGTGTGTGTGTGTGTGTGTGTGGGACCCTCGCCGGCGGCCGGGGATCAAACTGACGCTGCAGAGGCTGAGGGCAGCCTCGAAGCCCAGCGCTCAACCACTGCGCCACCAGGGGAGGCCCTAGGGGATGAATTTTTAAAGATGTTACTGAGATGTATGTCGTGTAGTGTTTTGCCTGTATTTTCTTCTACATATTTTATGGTTTCAAGCCTTATGTTCAATTCTTTTATCCATTTTGAGTTGTTTTTTGTGCATGGTGTGATGTAGTAGTATAGTTTCATTCTTTTGCATGTAGCAGTCCATATTTCCCAGCACCATTTATTGAACAAACTGTCCTCATTCCATTGTATATTCTTTGCTCCTTTGTCAAAGATTAGTTGTTATCTACATATGTGTGTTTGTTTCTGTGTTTTCTATTAGATTCCATTGGTTTGTGTGTCCGTTTTTGTTTCAGTATGGAACAACCCAAATACCCAAAAATAGATGACTGGATCAAGAATATGTGGTATATATAGACAATGGAATACTATTCAGCAATCAAAACAGATAAACTTATGCCATTTGCAGCAACATGGATGGAGCTGGAAGGGATTATGCTCAGTGAAATAAGCCAGAAGGAAAAGGAAAAATATCAGATAGTTTCACTTATAGGAGGACTACCAGGGAACCAAATAAGGGATCGGGGAAATAATAATTATAATGATAATAGTAAATAATAAAAATTAGCAGGCAACTATAAATCAGAGACATTCTGCAGGGAAAGGGGAAGAAGAGGGATCAAAACAGGAGAGGGAGGAGCACAAAGGACTATGGTGACGGTGCATGGGTGAACTGGTGGTGGGAATTTACGGGACTACACCAGAGAGGAGAAAGCAAACATTACAGAAATGATCGATGATGTAAGAAATATATATATAGGGCCTACCCTGGTGGCACAGCAGTTGAGCACTGGGCTGCAAAGCTGCCCACAGCCTCTGCAGCACCGGTTCAATCCCCAGCCGCCGGGCGAGGGTCCCACATGGCGCGAAGACCCTCTCCTGCCGCGCCCGCTGCTCCCCTCTGCAGTGTATTCGTCAGTCTACCTTCTGTTCCCCGCTCTGGCTCTGGTGAATTCTCTCACTCTCCCGCGCTTCTGACTGTACCCAGTGCTTGTATAAATAAATAAATAAATCTTTTAAAAAATAAAATTAAAATATATATTTTTTCTTTTTTAAGATTTATATATTAAAATATTATAAATTAAAATAAAATTATAAATAAATTAAAATACTATAAATTAAAATAAAAATAATATATATTTCTTTTTTTTTAAAAAAAGCCTGAGCGGGGAGCAGAGCTGGCAGGAGGACCAAAGTACACTGCTGAGGGGAGCAGCGGGCGCGGCAGGAGAGGTCTGCGAGCCATGTGGGACCCTCGCCCGGCGGCCGGGGATCGAACCGGCGCTGCAGAGGCTGCAGGAAGCTTCGCAACCCAGAGCTCAACCACTGCGCCATTGGGGAGGCCCTATATATATTAAATAATAATAATAAAAAAATCACTCTCCTGATGTAAGTTCTTGGAGAGCAGGGACTAGGCCATATTCATCTGTTTCCTTTGTGCTAGGAAATCATTTGGCACATGATAGATCCTCAACACATTTAGATAACTGAGAGGTAAGCAAGACTAAAACCCTAGGAGGGAGACATTTGTTTTAAAGAGGGCCTACTTAACTTTTTCCTCCTTCAGACCCTTATATTAGCTGGAGTCAAATTTGTCCTTTCTAGGAATAACTGATCTGAAAATGCAAACCAAGGATTTGAGACCATTTCGGTTATCTAGGCGCTCCATTAGAGAGGCTTGAAAGCCAGATTCTTCTCAAAGCCTAGAAAGCTGCCACCAAGGTGAATATCCAGTGGCTGACAAGGGGCAGGGCAGTGGGCCAAGTAAACAGAATAGAGTACCATGGGAAAATGGTAAGTTACTTTGCCTAGTTAATTTCTTTGTTTATACTATTTACCAGCACTTTGCTTAATAAATAAGTTGAAGCTTCATCACTAAGGCATTTTTTTTTTATTTTTAAACAATATTTGCTTCCCCCCACTCCCTCAGATTGAGTCCCCATAGAATTTCCTTCCCCAGGGCACCCATACACCATCACCACCATCCCTTGTGCTCCTCCCTCTGATCCCTCTCCCTCCTCCTCCCCTGCAGTATATCTCTGACTTATAATGGTCTGTTTTTGCTTTGTTGTGTTTTGTACTGTTATTATTTTTTTTACACTGATGTCTTATTTGGTTCCCCTATATTCCTGTTATAAATGAAACCATCCGATATTTTTCTTTTTCCTTCTGGCTTATTTCACCAAGCATAATCTTAAGAAGGCATTTTTAAGGGCTAGCTTGGCATTAAATAGCTGAAAGTTATGCAAGATTCTCAGAACAAATGCAGGGACTCTGGCACCATCTCGTGGCAACACCACACACATACTTTTGGTTCAATAATTTGCTCAAGTATTTGTGCTTTATGCTGTGGAACCACAAAATAACTGGAAACCTTGGCCTTAACTTCCCTTCCAGGATTTGGGGTGATGAGACAGAAACACATGAATTAGGCAGCCATGCAAAAGATCAAGTACGACGTCAGAGTTTGAAGAAGAGATGCAACAGTGTGGGCAGGAGCTGACAGGGAAGATTTGCCTGGGAGAGGCAGAGCTCTGGCTGGTTTTGAAGGCTTGGATTTGCCTAAGTGGAGGGGAAAAGTTATAAGTCATTCATCCTCTCTCCCTGAATCTGCAAATATTAAGCTAAAAACTAGACTGAAATTGTGTCACTGATTCATTCAACAAACAATCCCAGCTTCTTCAACCTGGAAGGTAAGAATAGCAATATCCAGCTTAACTCTCCACAAAGCTACACAGTTGAGAGGAGGATGTTAGATACTAACAGTAAGAGTCAGCATTTATTTTTCATATTTGTTCAGCAAATTTTTAAAACATCATTTTTAAGGTTTGTTTATTTATGCATAGAAGAGCTGGGGTGGGGCCTCCCGGTGGCGCAGTGGTTGAGCGCTGGGTTGCAAAGCAGCCTCTGCAGCGCTGGTTCGATTCCTGGCTGCTCCCCGGCCACCGGAGGAGGGTCCAGCATGGCGCATAAACCTCTCCTGCTGCCCGCTGCTCCCCTCAGCA